TATATATATATATATATATATATATATATATATAGTCATTCAAGAATTTAGTTGAACTGGATGGACTTTTGTCTTTTTTTCAGCCAGATTAACTATGTAACTATATTATATAATTTAATATATATACAAAGAATTTGATCATATTGCTTAATAATAACAACATAATTATTCCCTAATTTTTTTATTTATTTTTTTGAAATAATAGCATAATGATGCACACAAATGATTTTGTAAAAAAAAAAAAAAAAAAAAAAAAAAAGCTGCAGTATCAGCTTAGATTTGAAGGTTTGCTGGAAATGTTTCCACCAAGCAAAATGTGCATCAAGATTCTGCACCCAACACTGACAAAGGACTATAGGGTAGATTTACTAAAACTGATATACTCAAAATCTGGTGCATTTTTGCATGGTAGCCAATCAGCTTCTAACTCCAGCTAGTTCAAATAAGCTTTGGCAATAAAACCTGGAAGTTTCAAGGCAAAGCTGCATACGATTTTTCACTCTCCAGTTTTAGTACATAACCCCCCATGTCCCAGATTGTCAGGGCCCTTGACTTTATTTTTCCTAACTTTTAAATACAATTTCCAGACTCCTGTGCATTTTTAGCACAGTACACCAAAATGTAATATCATATTGGCCAAAGTGTGGCCAAACTACATAGAAATGAATCTGTGGCATCGTTTGATATAAACCCACATCATTGAATGGATGCTGAATAAACAGCAGTGAAAAATCAGTGCATTGGATGGCTATAATAACATTTCTGTTGCAGAAAGCTGCATGCAACTCTTGACTTACATACGCAGTTACATAGTCTGGCTGAAAAAAGACAAAAGTCCATCCAGTTCAACCAAAAAACAAAACAAAACAGTCATAATCCTATACCCACAGTTGATCCAGAGGAAGCCAAAAAAACCCAGCAAAGCATGACCCAATTTGTTCCTGCAGGGGAAAAAAATTCCTTCTTGATCCCCCAAAAGGCAATCGGATATTCCCTGGATCAACTTTACCTAAACCCCCCCCCCCCCAAAAAAAAAAAAAAAAACCCAGTTATAATCCTGTACCCACCATTGATCCAGAGGAAGGCAAAAAAAAAAACAGCAAAGCATGATCCAATTTTGCTCCTGCAGGGGAAAAAAAATTCCTTCCTGATCGCCCGAGAGGCAATCGGATATTCCCTGGATCAACAACTTGTCCAAACACTGGAGAAAATTAACTACTATGGACACCTCTAGAATAAAATGATATACAGTATTTCATTAAAACATTGATCCAGATAATGCCAGGCTCTATTTTATCGAATTAGTGAACTGATTCATGCCCAAATATTGCTTTTATTAGTAACAGCTTATCTTTAAATATATATATATATATATATATATATATATATATATATATAATTTTTAAAATATATAGATAGATAGATAGATAGATAGATAGATAGATAGTGTAATTTCTAAATCTACATTATATTTATCATAATTGTTTCACAGTTGCTGTTTAGCAGCCACTGAGCTGTGATTTTTTTTCTCTGTGTGCGGACAAACCCAGAGCTGCTAGGTCCCAAAGCAGTAGTATGCGCTGCTAGAGACGGAGTTACACCTACGCTGCTCCATATAGTAAATGATACCTCTACAATGGTCTATTAAATATGCACATCTGTTTGTCAGGACAAGATTACTGCAGTGCCTTTACATCACGCAGATGACACTCCAGCTTGTATGTAATTAATTAGGTCGTTAATACATTTGTACATGGAAAGATAGCTCCGAGCTACAAGTAGGCGCTTGCAGATCTACTGCTATTGTAAGAGGTATAAACAAAAAAAGGGGGCAGCCCTCCTAACTCATGCTACAACATCCCAGTGCCCTTTTCAACCCCTTTGCTGCATTTTTTTAAGGAGAAAACAAGGTTGAAGCTTGTTCTTGACTTAAGTGCTTGTAACATTGGGGCCCTGGGCCTGTTTCCCACCAAAGACACTGTTTATATGGATATGTTGGAAGGCTGGGGTGACCCTCGGGTGGGCAGGAGGTCAAACCCCGGTAGGTAACAAAGTGCCACATCCCTGTATAGAGTATTGAAAGGAAGAATATGGAAATGGACTTTCTAGGCACAGAAACTCAGTACATGAAATAATAAAATCATTGTTCCTTTACTAACATCACATCATCTTTAAAATGTATCTTGTATGATATTAACACCGACCACATAAAATGATTGCAAAAGATGGTAGCAGTATAGATAGTACCAACAAAGTAATCCTTCAAAACGGTAAGGGATATGCAAGCTGTGCAGGCTGCACCCGACATGTTTCGTGATGGCCGTCGCTTCCTCAGGGACTAGCAATATATCTAGGGAATATAATTATACTTAGACAATATACAAGATACATTTTAGAGATGATGTGATGTTAATAAAGGAACATTGATTTTATTTTTTCGTGTACTGAGTTTCTGTGCCT